ATCACATGATATATTTATATATACAACAAACCAAACAACAACAACAATAATAATAATAATAATAATAATAATAATAATAATAATAATCTCGATAATCAATAATTTTTTTATAAAAATTCAATAACTTAACCGTCGATGAACCTTGCACCGATAGGATATCGATAAGACAAATTGTTTGTCGTTAACGTTTACGTATATGCATCGTTTATAAAAAAAAAAAAAAAAACACTCGCGCGAGATTTTTCAAAGGTAGGAACACAAATCTGTGAAATCTAAAAAAAACTTGATGTATACATACTCGAGTAAGATATTTGTAATACGACAAAAGTCCCAAACGAAACAAACAAAACAAACGAAACAAACGAAAACAAACAAAAACAAAACAAAAAACAAAAGAGATTAAAATCAAAGTATTAAGTAAAATTTAAAGTTTAACTAACTCTAAACCCTTAAAACTTTATTTAAATTATTATTATTATTATTATTATTAGGAGGCTGTCGAAACGAAACCGACACGTGGGAAAATAATAATAATAATAATAATAATAATAATAATAATAAGCCAACGGCCATAGCGTGCTGGTCACACCGGTTCCCGTACGATCACCGAAGTTAAGCAGCATCGGGCGTGGTGCAAACTTGGATGGGTGACCGTCTGAGAACGCCACGTGCTGTTGGCTTAAAAGAGCAAAAAAAAATGAGAACAAGACAAAGTAAGAACCAAAAAACAAATCTTGTTCTACTGTCGACCTGAGGCAGCTCGACGAGAATGTGAATTTCACTGCTTCTGACCCTGGCCACTCCAAAGATGTTAGTCACCGGAGCCCAGTTCAGGAGACAAATCGTTCCCATCGAAAAAGACGGACTCAGGAAGACCTTCAAGAATTGATGTGGTGCTATCTTATAATAAGTGGCACCACCGAAATTCGAGTATTTGTCCCTAAGGAATCGGGTAGAAACCTCGGATAAATACTTAAAAACTCCGACAAGTAGCCTTGTCGTGTTTAATGGTGGATAATAATAATAATAATAATTTTATAAAAAGTTAATTGGAAAAGTTTGCAATGTGTAGAATTCATTCAACTACTACTCCTACTACTACTATCAAATTCAAAATTTAAATTTTTGAACACGTGACCAAAAAAAATTTTAGTTTTTAGGTTTTTAAATTTTTCGTTATTCTCCCCGGTCCCCGCTTCCCGGTCCCCACTTCAGCAAAATTTCATTAGCCGACATATTAAAAAAAAAAAAAATTAATTCCGAAAACAATTTTTCCTTTTTTACCTTTTCGCACATTAGTTTGTTTTTTTTTTTTTTTTTTTTTTCAAAGGTTGGTACCACCGACCGCGCGCGTCGCACATTACCGCAAAAACTAACGATTCGACAAACAATAAATAAATAAATAAATAAATAAAAAACGGTGGTCACTTTTTTTTTTTAAAAAAAAAAAGGTATATAACCCTTTTACATCTCCTCTACCTTGACTACCGCGTCGCATTCATTCCTTTCTATTTGTTTCCAGGTACGAAATGCAAAAAAAAAAAAAAAAAAAAATTTCACGAAAAATTTGTCACGGTTTTCTTTTTACATTCAGAAAAGAAAGGAAAAATTTTTTTCTTTTTTTCTTTTGCAAATTTGTAAATTTAACTCGGTCATGTATGTAACCGGTCGTCATTCATTTAACCAATAAAGACAAAAA